GGAGTTGAAGGAGACTGGATTTTGTTGGTCCAAGACAGGGCTTTGGTTAATTCGGTGATGAACCTTCAGGTTCGGTAAGCCATCTAGTTAGTTAGTTCTTCTATATCAACGCTCACCAAAATTATTTCCCTTGACATTATAGAATCCAGGTATTGACAGCTCAGAAGACTGTAGTTGCATCCGTCCATAGGCATGCAGGCTGTCGTGAAGTTCAGCTCATCGTTCACATAAGCCAGATGAAGGCCCTTAGGATCTCGACCAATTGTCCAGCAGAACAGAATTATTTGCACCACTGGCAGTCCAATGATGAACAGCATTATACTACAAAGAGAATTAAACAGTGATTAGTTCTACAAATTTTAAAATCTCCCAAAACACTTTTATGCAGAATTTAGATATTTTTGATTGATGCATGCAGAAGTATTTCCCCCCCGGTGAGCATACTCACGGAACGTTCCTCCACATCCATAAGAAATCCTTCCATACGACAGCCTTCATTCTGTGTGGGGACAGAAACTTGAGATAATCCATCAGGCCCCATTTCTCCCCTTCATCAGGAGGCAGATCTGATTCACTCTGTGAATCAGACAGCACGAATACAGATTCAAATTTTGCTCATACCATCCTCCTCTCTGCAAGAGAAGCTGACGCCAAGAGTAAAATCCCGTTACAGCAATTCACAGACACGGCGTTGTGTTAAAGAGTGCAACCATTTTGTTTTGTACGAATTCTAAAGACACACCAAAACAAAAAAATATTTTACACTACTGATTAATTGGTTCTAAGATCACTTAATTATTCCGTATAAAGAGCAATGATTTTACGGCCCTGAATGAGAGGGAAATATCATCATGAATAATAAGAATCTTGAATGAATCAGAGTTTATTTCAAAATACTATCACAGAAATGTATTATATTCCCATAAATTTTGTGTTTTTTTGGTGTTTCATTATACGTAATCGCCATGAAAGCTTTAGATCACAAATTAATACATCCACTTTTTATACTATTAAGTAATGAACGTGGTATATATAGTATTTATAATTACTGCTTGTCAATAAACAGTCTTACCAGGATTTATGCCTAAAATATTGAGATGTTGAAACACAAAATTAATTCTTATTACGCTTTGATCATACTTGTTTAACAACCATACAGCAATTTTAATGTGCATTGTGAATAATAGTCATAGTATGAGAATTATTTCTATGTCCTTGATTAAATTCACTTTATTTTTAAAACAAGAATATTATTGATTTGTACCCGCCTTTAACAAGGCTAAAAACATTAAATTAACATTAAATTAACGTAAAATACGCTTCTAGAAAAACATTCGTTCAACCATTGAAAATAACACTTTAATGGTAACACGGACAACGAAATGAATACGATGTGTTAAGGATATATAACAATTTTTATTATTTATTCTACTAATTTATAATTCAAATACTATTTATGGGCCTCGATGGCAACTGCGAACATGGTCACACTTAAAACAGATCCTTGCGGAGTTCTGTTATTAGTGACAAACCTTACGTACTCGCTTGTAGTTTGTTATGTGGTTAGTTAGCAGACTAGTTACTGAATTATTCTTACCATAGTATCCCTTTTAGTAATATTAATATTATTAAGCATCAAAGTTATTGTGTAAGATTTGAGGTTTTCACAGCGGTGAGTATGAAGATTTTTGTCTTCTGGGTTGCTGCGCCCTGGAGATGGAGGCAGCAAAGACCTCTGAAACGTCGGTAAACTTCTACCACGGCGCAATAACCCCGAAGACAGCCATCTTCAGACTCACCGCCGTAAAAACCCCAAATCCTGCATAAAGCTTCTAATTGTTCAGTTATCTTCATCCTAAGTTTTGGGACCAAATTTTCTCCTCAGTAGTCAGTCAGCTCGGGTTTAATTTACCGCTTACATCTGTGGGGTTGCCACGAACTGCTCAATGAAACACGATCTCCTGCCTCTGTCCAGGTTTTATTTGCCACGAGGGTGAAGCCATATCATGAATTAACAATTCTCTAGGACACGTTGTGCAGTTTATTGCAACCTAGAACCCTAGGGAGAGTACTGTAACTCAAGTATACATAGAACAGACACTTCATGCAGTAGCCTTTACATAACTGCCTTCTCATATCATAATTCCGCACCTCGTGACCCCTCAGAGGTTTGCTAACTCAGAACAGTCAAATGTTAAATGAAGCGAGTTGAATGAAATGTCTTCATTCGCTTATTTGAACACGCTATGGACGTCAGCTGCAAATATTCTATTCCATCAGCAGACGCAGAAAATCGACTAAGGATGGTCCTCCATCTTGGGGGTTGGGCGGGGGGGAGATAATCAATCACCAGCAGAGAAGAATGTTATAGAATTTGAAGATGTGGACTAGGTTCATCTCGTTCCGGTTAGGGCCGAGTGGCGGACTCCTTGTGGAAGCAGTATGAGCCATCGAGTTCCATAAAACGCGGGCAATTTTTTGAATGCCAGCTTCTAAAAAAAATTATTATTCTCCACAAAATGAGTCAATTCTATTATTGATTACTTCTTTCAATTTCATATACACAAAGAGAATGATGATTGATTGTTATTTTCAACTGCATAGCTTATGAAACGTCGAATGTTTGACTGTGCCTCTCGAGTTTATGGGGCAAATCTTTCACTCATTCTTTCCGCCTAATTATCAGACTTGCTTACCTGAAGTACGACTCGGGAATGATCTTCGATTATTCGTGAAAATTACTCAGACTGTGCATCAAGCAAAATGAAGTTGCCAAATGAAAAACACTTTTAAACTACTGTACATGTTTTGCGTCTAGCGGCTAGAACGCTGGCCTTGTAATCCTGGGGTCTCCGGTTCGATTCCCCATCGGTGCCCGAATTTATAACTTGTGTTGGGCAAGGCCGTGGTCTAGGCAACACGGAGTTTTCCTCCG